GATTGGATTTGTATATTCAAATATTTTATGACGAGTCAGCAATAATTTTTAGATTGTTTTCATTAGTGGTTACTATTTTGTTGGTGTCAGCAATAATTTTTAGAGTGTTCTTTGTTGGTGGTCACCATTTTTGTAGGGTCAGTCTATCCAGATTTCAGTTGGAAAAATAAAATCTAAGTGTCATGTCCAAAATGACAATACAAAACTGTAAACACAAAGAAACGATTTTTGAAGAAAAAGAAGAAAACCAAGCTAAATATGACAATAACATTTATACAGTAGCTACATATATTTACATGTTGAAAATGAATGTTCTTCTTGTGGCCATGAAGAGACCAATAGTTTCAGTGTTCAAAATAATTTTTGACACAAGTGAGTTTGCAACGTTCAAAGTGATTAGCTGCAAGTGAGTTTGCAAGATTCGAAGTTATTTTGTTGCAAATGAGTCTGAAAGTTCAAAATGACATGTACACCAACATGTGTGCTAAGCACACACTAATAAAATACAGTGAACAAAGAGAAACTGAGACAAACTTACTTTTGTTGTGGCATTGTATGTAGAAAGATCTACTGGCGTGTTGTCATGGTAACGTGTTTCACAGCTTGGCCTGTTCGCTGACTACTCCATTTCAGATCTGCCTCCTGTCACTGACAAGTCGTTTTTATGGCTTATGGTAAGTCGGTGACCGGCTTATGAATGCTATCTAAATTCAGCACAGGAATGTACTAAGTAACCCAAGCCTATTTGGAGTTCAACCATGTGGATGTTATAGAAAGCACATCACATAACTTGTCATATCTAATCAGGTTCCAGAAATCACTTTGGAGCCATGTTTTGTACAGAATTGTAAAGATTTTTTGTATCTACTGATTTTTGTAGGATTTATTTGAACACATCTCTTACTTGTTTGTGCTTCACTTATTAGCCATAAAATATAGGAATTTATATCCTATAATAATAACTCAAAAACTAATGTCAAATATTGAACATTGTGAATCATGTGGTAGAGAAACAACATTATCCATAGCAAACTATTGAAAAACATAATTACTGTATACAAAACTATAAGATATATTAATATTCAAATAAATATAATCCGTTTAGAATAGAAATGATTATTAGAGGTCAAAAGTTGCTTATTATTGTAATTCATTAATTATTGCCCAAAAAATAAATGTTAAAAATATGAGTCTACCAGCATATTTCCTTTATAAAATGATTTGTTGAGCTTTCAAAGTTTCACTTTCACTGTTTTAAAGTAAAGTGTATCAACCAAGAGTAAAAGATAGCAAAATTATTTATATAGTAAGTTACCATGAACTCTTAAAGGAATTAGGGAAAGAGAAAACAACAAATCCATTAAAAAGCAAGTTTACATGTGCAGACAGGTTCGGTTAAACTAAGAACAAATTTTCTAAGCTATTTTTACATAAAGCATATAAGAGGATTGAGTGAAATTTTACGGTTTCAATGATTGGAACAAATATGATTGGTTAAAAAATAGCAAATGGAGTTTAAGTTCTTATATTCAAATTTTCTTGATTAAAAAGTGTACAAATTATACATGTGCATCATAAATAATTATCAAAATCTATATAAATTAAAATTTGACAAAATATATAGATTGTATACTCTCAAATTAAAATTGTTTAAACTTCCATTTAAAAAGTGAAAGTTTAAACAAGGTCACATAGAAATTAAAACCTTCACAGGAAAAATAACTGATTGCTAAAACACCATCATGAAAATTAAAAATTAAGAACAAACTCTTGTAAATAATAATAATAATAATAAATAAAATACACAGTTACTCTTTTGGGAACAAGAAATACAAAGAAAAGATGGATTATTTCAGATGTAATTTAAGATTAACCATTAATCATTTCAATAAAAAAATAATTGAAATGAAAACAAAATTAAATTGAATGAAATAAATACAGAAGATCAAATTATCAATAGTCAATAAAATTAGCATTAACTAATCAAAGTTAATGCAATATTCAGGATATGTTTATATTTATTGATTTAATTGGTTGTTGGCCCTAAGCTTTTCAGGTAGTGTTATGTAAATGAACATTATTCTGTATCTGCCTATATTTCTGAGATGAGGTATTATGCACATTATTTACATTATTCGGACTATTGTCCTCATCTTTATCACCATATTCATTACAACGTTTCGGCCATTGTATGCTCCAGCCTTCTTTAGGCGTTGGTTAGATCCAGTGACAGGACCCAAAGAGTGTGAGTTCAATACCTGGTTAAGGCAGTGGTGAACTTTCAGAGGGAAATTAACAGGAGAAAACTGATAAGTGACATCCATTAAACATGGCATGTGAAACTAGAACAGTCTACCCCAGTGAGCAAAATAAAGGGTTAAGTTCAACATTCCAACCGCCTAAGGCTATGAAGGTAAAAAACAGTTTCTTTTTTTTTCTCCAGGACAACACTATCAAAATTGAGATGGACTAAGGTTTCATAGGAACGATTACTGGTGTCCTCCCCTCTGGAATATTTCTTCTCAGTTGAATAACACTAGTAAACCAATCATTGCATTTTGGTTATCTATGCTGAATATCCAAGGTCTATCAAGTACATTCTGTCAATGAAGTTTTGTCTCTTCTCCGTATCTTCTGATAGTCATTCAGGAGATGTCTTGGCTGGTAAACTGCTCTTTAAGCCCAATATGTTCACTTGTCTTCAAAGACCCAGTAAGCTGTGTGTATTGTATATTATCATAAAGCAGAAGTTATGATCAATTTATATTAAGTCTTGTTAGTCATCCCTCTGTAAGAAGAAGGAGTTGTCGTTAGGCTTAAATATAATTAGCCTCTGGTGTTTATATATTTATTATATAACATCTGATCTTTGGTGTTTTCATTTTAGTTGCTGTGCACATTTCTCATTCTCAACTGATCTCTAATTATAGAAGATCAATAAACTAGTTAAGCAGCTGTTATTTGTTAATTGTGTTTTTGTATTTCAGTATTACCACTTCACAATAATGTAAACTACTTTCTTTTTGTTACTCTCCTTTGTGTTATTTTTTTTCTTTTGTTTCAATTGTTATTATTAAATTTTGTACATTTAAAATAAAAATATTCATATAAAGGAAAAAGTATTTCTTTTTAATTGAAGTTTATGACCCAAACAATGAGAGGAATCAGTCTGCTTTTTTTTCATTGAATCCTCTCCTTTGTGATAGAAATGCTATCCTTGATCCCAATTTAGACACGGGAGCAATAGGAAAGGTACTAACATTCTTTTGGATATCAAATTTTTAGTGAATTTATTGCCAAACTTAATTTAAGCAATAAATTTCAAAATGAACACCTGAAGCAGGCAGAACAGGTTTGAGCAGATAGTAGAAGCTCAGATTTGGTGCACTGTTCTAGCTATATCAACTTAGTTTTAGTTAGAAATGAGGTTATACAAGTTTGCACAATATAGTTCATTTAGACGATAGGTTAGATCAGATTCAAATTAACTTATATAGACATAAGCCTAGAATGGTTGAATGCAGCAAATTCAACACATCCTTGTTGAATGTGAAGGATTTCTGGGACCAGTTGATACTAACCCTAAAGCAGGAATGGATTTGGACTGTGGTTGGGAATAAGTGGTGGTCTTTTGTAGCTGAATATAGCTTTTGATTCAACCTAGATATATTAGCACCACAAAAACATTTAATTTAGAGTAGATGGGAATGTAAATTCACAAGATGTGAACCAAATAACTATAGAGAAAGCAGAGATAACCGCTTTGCTTAACAAGAAGAAGCAGGCTTTAGTATTAATTAATAGATGAGCAGACTTATTTTTAGGGGAAAGTGTATCTCTGCTCTGACTTCCTCAGGTTGACCTTAGGAAAATACAGGACAAAATAAGGAAGTTGATTCTGATTAGCTGAACTAGCATGGGAATGATAGTTAAATAAAGGTTTTTCAGGAGTAGGTTCTTACACATCAAGCAATGTAGACATGTTGACTTTCATCTCTGGAAACTGCACACCAGTGGAGAGAGAGAGAGCACCCCCACTGAATATTTAGAAGAGGTATATGTTGACATTAATAAACTAGATAAGTTGATAAGTTTTGTATTTTGTGGCCAATGAGAGCTGTAGTCTCATAGCCTAGTGAAAACTTGGATGGAGCCTTCTGTGAGACTAAATTTCTGAATGAATAAGATCTCAGCAGGTCAGTGAGAAGAAGACTTTTTGATAGCAAGGGGACAAGGCAAATCAACATCCAGGAACAGAAGGCTTTTGACATCAAGAAGGCACCAGTTACCAGCCAACTGCAGAGAGACTAAAAAAAATCTAAGATAACATGCATTTGGTGCAAATGATTATAGAAAAAGTTGATGATCAAGCTGTAATGATCAATTTAGCTCAGTCCAAGGCTTTCAATAGAGTTGACCATTGTTTCTTGGACGTTGTTTTGTCCACATTAGCTGTAAATCCTTGTATTAGAACCTTTCCTATACAATTTGAGGGTGAACCTGGTCATGTGTAGAATTATATTATCTGGTGCCACCACCACAACCAGTTACTCTGCTTATGTTGACATGTCTCCACGCTTGTAATAAGCAATGTCAATTTTGAGGAAATTGAGTTAAATGTGTGTCAATAGATGGCAGAGTGAGAACAAAAAGGCTTAGAGAAACAAAAGAGAGCCATGATTACTGATGTCCTGAAGAAATACAGCACATAAAAGGAGTATTTATTGAATGAACTGTCTGCAATAACAAGTGGAAAGAATTATACTCCAGTTCAATTAAGTATTTCTTGATAGGTTCTCTTTAGAAATTTTTATGTTTAAGTGAGCTTTAATTTTCAAATACACTGTAGTGATAGAATTCTTCTTGAGCCTAATGTATCAGCAGAAATAAATAATTGTTCTTCTTAAGTTTTATTTCTTTTCCTCATTTCTAACTTTGGTTCTAAACACACTAGAAATCAGGATTTCATAGATCATTGTATCCTTATTATACATTAGGCTTACAGTCACATCAGGTTGAAACACTGGCTCCTGTATGATCACTAGAGTTAAGCATCATTGAGCCTGGTCAGTACCTAGATGGGTAACTGCTTGGGAATAACAGGTGCTATAAGCAGTTGGTGTAATGGATAATGGTTTGAAATTGAGCTGAGTGTAATTACAAAAAGAGAACTAGGCTTAATGAAACTTTATTTTGCTTAGAATAATTGATACCAGTGTAGTGACTATTTATAGTCCTCTACAAATGAAAGAGTTCTCGAAAGGGAGGTAATCATATCACAAGGGAGATTATTCCCAATTACTTGATCACACTGTGTTCCAATTCCAGTTGGGTTTCTTATATTGACTTACATGCAAATACCCTTGGGAATGGTATGAATCTACCTCTTCTCCCCCAGCTATGGATTAATTAGTAAGATTTGTATAACTAAATCTTTACTATCTCTAAAAAAAAATTCTTACAATCTAAAAATATTTTCTGGCTTTAAATAACCTGCAAAGGTTTTATTTGATAAGCCATAGAAAAGGAATCAATAAAAAAATAATTATATTTTGATACCATCATATCATCACTATTCTTCATAAATGATATTTGTTTAAAAATGTTTAAACTACTCAACATCTTCATATTCATTTCATAAACAAAACTATGACACAACCTGAATTAGTGACCAGGCACAACCTATATATGATGCTGCATTGTATTGTATTTGGCATTATAGACATCCTTGTATTTGTATAAAGACATTTATTGTTATTCATGTAAATATGTTATTGTTATCCTGGTCATGTAAATATTACTTGGAATGCATGTGACTGGTGGAGCATTTGCGGTTTCCTTTAGGGCCTAATGTTGATGAACACACTAACAGAACACAAGCATTATTTTAGGGATAAGTACAAAGGAGAAAACTGGCATCAGCAGAAGTATTTAGAGTTTTGAACAGAACAGAGACATTCTTATCTTGCTAATAACTCTCACCAAAGGTGAACATAACAAAAGATTGGCCAGTGGATCTTGTCAAAGATTAATATAATGGCAGAAAGGATTTTGTTACATTTAAGCATTAGATATTAGATATGCAGGTAGAATAACAGCTATCAACATGAAAAGTGGAATTGGTGAGCTGAATTCAAATTCTGGCCTAGTCTATTGCATTCATTTACACACATGGCCTTGAGAAAAACATGGATCCATTTCTTTTCTTCTATCCACAGCTATGGGTTAAATAGCAAGGTAGATTGAACTTTATAGTTTTGGGTGGCAGCCTGTTTAGGAAAAGGACAACTCTGAATTCAAAGAATGCAGCAGGAAACCATTCCATTATTGTTTTCAAGAAGTCATGGTAACTACCAGGTAATAAAGAAAAGCAAACTATGGAGAACTATGATTACCTATATCCTGAAGGAACATGACATTTACATAAAAAAAATCTTAGAAAATATATCATTATATTACAAGCAAATCTTTACCTGATTATTACTAAAAGCTGTCCTTGTTAGAATAAAAAAAGGGGATACCAAAGTTTTTCTTTTTTATCATATAGCTTTGCATTTTGTTGCTGTAGTTCTTCTTGAGCAAACAAATCCTGAACTTTTACTAACTTATTGTAAACATAAAATGCAATCCACACCCAAGCTTTCCACCTCACATTGCATTTCGATTCTTGATCTTGTAAGTGTGTACCAAAAGATGGAAAAGGGCCTACTGCTGCTCACAAGGTAACAAGCTGAAAGATAATTGCCAGGAAGTAAGAATTTGAACCCTGTTTCCCATATTATATGTAGATGTTTTATTCAGGGATCTAGATGGATAAGTAGGTGATACTTGGGACAACTCCTTCTATGTCAGCTCATCCCCCATCTACATATCCCAATGTGTGGTTGGCAATATGAATGGACGGCACCTGAACCACGCGATGGACAAGTTCATCTCTCACCAAACTCTCCCTGATCCCAAGCATGACTTTTAATATAGACTAGCACCCAGATATTCCCTATTTCCAGTTTTGTTGCCACTTGATCTCCAAATAGGTTGATACTGCTTAGATAACTAGACTCCAAAAAGGACCACCTGCTAACTATTAAACTAAGCACTTGAAATCATGATAAAACCACATTTCCTTTTTCTACGTAGACGTCCATAGTATCACATTAGCACTGCATTGAACCACTATGTTCAAATAAAGATGAATTTATAGACTGCACTATTATTAATAATTCAGCACACTGACTTTTTCCCTATGTCAGTGCTTCAACTTGAATAGGTTTACACTGTTACTACATATAAATCTAAAATACACTAGTCTTTTGAGAAAATGTACTCTGAAATATTTGGAAGATTAAATCATCTGTTGAGAGAAAAAATTGCTGACTAAAATAAGGAAAAACCATTTTTAAAAACATGGCCTCATTTTACATATAACATTTACCAGTTTTCTATGAGTAAATGTCTTGATTCTCACTTAACAAAAACCACCAGTATCCTAGGATTCAAAAGACCCTGAAAAGAAAAATCAATCAGAGCATAATTTCCTTGCCAATATTGGTAACTGCATTGATATATCAGTCATTTGTGCTTTCTGTTCCTATTGATCTCATCTGTTACGGAAAAGTCCTAATGGGGTCAATAACCAATAACAGTATTAATTGTAATCTTTATATCATTATTGACTAAAATTGATAAAATAGTTCTTGGATATTTTGTTGAATTCTGTATCTAATGAAGCACTTTTTAGTTCATTATAGTTTTAGATGAAAAGTGAGAAAATTGTACATATAATAATATCTTAAGCATGTGCAAAATTTTTTAGTGAAAATCTAGTTTTAACTGTATATTCAGTTTCTAATTTTCAGAAAAAAGAACACAAGGAAATTTTGCATACATCTAATAGAACAAAATGACCCATGAACATTCCATGATTATAGTAAAATAGGAGAGGTTTATATGGATGAAATAACAGGGCAGACTAGGCTCTTTAGCCTTGGCTGGCAACAAGTCTAGAAGGACAACTTTAAATTCAAACCAGTAAAAACCAACTTGTTACAGAAACCACAGCAGCAACACCTGGCATAGTGAGGCTGTGACCCTATTCCCCACAGGGAATTCTCATGCACTAAGGAGGAGGAGGATAGCCAAATATAAAATTTGTATCATTATTGCAATAATTTTGTTAGAGTTTCATTTGTAAATCTACAATGGGACTCTTATCCAACCTTCCATTGATTGGCCAATGACTACTCCACATTGTGACTCCCTTCTTGTTTGTGTTGCTGTGCACCAAAAACTGGGAAATGCCTGCTGCAGGCTCACAAGGAAACAAAAGATGAAACCAAGCACCACAGTGACAAATGAGTACTCTGTTTTTAATATTTATTCAGGGCTTTGCTTGCTCAGTTTGGCTGACACTTGGGAAAACTTCTGCAATGTCAATCCAATGGATCAGCTCTTCTCTTTTGACTCTCTGTCCTACCAGTTCTCTGCCATTCTCAACATCACATCATATGGCTGGCAACATGAATGGACAGTATCAAAAATATTTGTCTGTTCCCTGCCAAAGGCAAGCCAGAACTCTCTACCTCAATCCAAATTGTGACTTAATGTGGCTAGAAATTCTCAAGATCTGGCTTTGTTGTCACTTGATACCAAATGCTTTCATTTATTTATTTATTCATTTGTTCCATTTCAGTTAAGTGGATGCTATTTAGAAGGCTCAACTTCAAAGACTTTATCTTCCGTCCATAAAACATGAAACACTTGTGATTGGGATAAAATCACACCTCCCTCTACGTAGGTGTCCTAATCATAGTGTCACAGATTAACTGTAGATTTATAATATATCTATGATAGTAGGATAAACACTTTTAGCTCAGTAACAGATTTTAATTTAATAAATAAAGTAATAAATATCAAAGTAAAACTGGAGTAGCAAATTACATTGTTTTCCAAATGTCTTTGGCTGAAACATATCTAGATGGAAAATAAGCTTTTAATTGATCATATTCATCTTATTATTTTGACTGTACATTTTTACTTACATTAAATTTTCAGCAATCTTTAACCTTCATGCCAACAAAAAAAGTGATTTAAAGGGACAATTTTTCACTTGACACAGCAATTTTTAACTGCTCAGCAATGTCTATTGTTTTAAAAAGCAATTATTGGTATTGGAATAAAACCTAAACACATGATGAACTTAAATTTATATATTTTTTTGTTCTTGAGAATTTAAAAGAAAAATATTAAACACTATTTATAAGATTGTTTATTTACAAGAATAATTTTATATTTACAACAAAAACTAATATAATTGTATCAAAATAAATGCAATGCAATATTTATCACTTATCAATTTATAAAGAAATAAATATGAAAACAATTTTTTATTCATAAATTAATAAACATTTACTAAATTATAAAAATATGTTAAACAACTATAAGAAAATACTTATTATTTACCATTTTATAAAGTTTGAATTGATTGGCAATTAGCTGATGTTTTGTCAACCATTCCAACAAACAATAAAATAAATAAATAGTGTAAATAAACAATCTAATAAATAAATAATGTTTAATTGGTAAATGATAAATATTACATTGCAGTGAAGGTAGTTAAAATAATAGTGTTGTCAAGGGAAAACCATCCTTTTGACACAGTTTTTTTTGTGGAAGCACAAAGGTTATAGATTGCTGGATTTTCATTATTATGCACTGATTTATTTGAACTGTTTTCCTTATCTTGGTTCCTTCAGTCACAACATTTCGCCCATTGTGTTCCCTGACTTTCTTCTGGCTTTTATTTTGTAACATTACTGGAATTTCAAACTGAATCCATTATTCAAATCCATGATGGTAGACCTCATTTCATTGTCCATATTTAGGTGTATTTCATATAAGTTAATTATTCTGTGATTACACCCATTTTGTTACTTTGTACTTGCAATACCGCTTCTAGCCCTGTGGATTAAATAAAGAGATCATTTTAAAATTCCAAAGTTGTTACTGAATATTACAGGCAAATAAACATTCTGATTATAATAATCAAGAATAGGACAACATTACAAATATTTCAGGGTATAATAATAATATTGGATCAGAACAAATGTTTATA